TTTTTTTTGATAAATTGGATTTCTAACTTCAAGTGAAATAAAAACACCAGTGTTTCTTGCATTTTTTTTTTTTTGCATTAATTGGTTTATGATCATCTGCTTTTTATCATTTCATGAGGTCAGTGTCTAAGGTTTGATATTATGACAGTGCTTTATACCTCTATCTCCAAATAGATTAATAATTCATCCTCCTCTGCACTGTATATCTGTTGGGTTTAAAAAAAAAAAAAAAAGTATTTATATAGCGTGCTTCAATCACACTCTTAAATTCAATTTGTCCCTAATTTTTTAACAAAATGTATTTTACCAGAGTCATACAGAATTAACAGAAACAACGGACGAGTCCACTGGGGCTGTAGGACTGCTTATGGTGTTGACATTGCTGCAGTTTTTTGTATGTTGTAGAATTTTACTGTCTCTGAAAATACCATGCATGTAAAATAAAGGTTGCAATAACATAAATAATGTAACAGTGAAACATTTCTTGCAACACATTGCCCAGGTAATCATTTAATAGCTATTGTGTCATCTGCATTATTTGTGTAATGACCTAATACCTTATGTTTTAGGATTATATATGAGTCATCAAACAATCACTTCAAGGTAAAGGTATTTTATCTTGCATGTCCAGGGTACTTTTAGAGGTTTTCATAGGATTGTTGCAAGCTATACTTGAAAACAGACTTTTTGTAAGGAGCTGTGTAGAATGGCAATTTGTGTCCTGAGAAGAGTATTTTAAGAGTGAGTGAGTTAATTAAGATAAAAGCCTTATATAACTCACAGCAGTATATAAAACTTCTCAATTAGCAGACCAGTTACAATACAATCAGGGACACTTCATCTACTCTCAAGTTACAAACATGAAGTCTTTGCTCATAAACAGAAAGATATATTAGCCTATGAGGAATAATCAGTATCAACGGTGTCCAAGACAGTATGGGGACAGACCAACTGCTGCTGTCTAGGACCTCAGGCTTTAATTACAGGCTTCCAAAAGCAGACAGGATCCGCCACTTCTAATCTGAATCAATGCGCAGACAACAAGCCACTCTCCCACACACTGTCATAGATACCTCCTCGTCTTCAGAGGCCGCAAACAATCAAAATGACACAATCAGGTAACTGCTTTAGCACAGCCCAGAAGAGTTCCTAATAAAGAATAAATTTCACATAAAGGGTGAATAACATATTAAAGCCCTGGGATTTGGAAAGTAATTAACTTATACATATCTTTACATCTACAATAGTAAATAACACGTGAAATTATGACATATTTCAAGTAAAAATAACTCCTTTTCCTCCACGTTTGCAGCTATTAATCTAAAACATTTGGAAGGTCTTCATTTCTCACCGCTCTGCAATGGTGGTCAAATTTGTGCCTCCCACAAATATCCAATAATCAACCTGTCAATGGATTCCCTCACTGAACTTGGTTCTTTTTTACTTTGCAGTAAGAAGTTCAAAGGTTTGAATAACAGGCTGAGGTCCTTCTGGGATGAGTTTGAGTTTTGTCCCTCTGCATATATATTGATTCTCACCAACTGGCCCAGCTTTTTCTAACGTTCCATAAACATTACAGCTAGCTCAACTGGTCTCTCTAAATCACTTTTAAGTTGCATGAATAGGCAATCAGACAATGGATAGATGATGAAAACCATGTGTAACTCTCCTTTGTGTTCATAATTATTAGCTCCTTTGTTTGGTTCTATTACATAAAACACAATTTCACATGTGGCAAAATTCAGGGAAATTTTAAACTTTTGGAAAGCACCATAAACTTAAATAAACAAACTATATATATATATATATATATATATGTATATATATATATATATATATATATATATATATATATATATATAGTAAAGATAATGCACAATTCAATTACTGAATAAGGACTTGATTGTTTCTTACAAACAAATAATCAAATATAAGTAAAAGTGAGGGAAAAAAACTCCTTATCTGGGATTGGAGAGAAAAATGTATTAAGTGAAAGGAGCATAGAGTGGATCTAAATGTTATTAAACCCGGGGTGTACTTATTCTTTCAGTCCCAACGTCAAGGCTTTTTTTTTTCTTCTTTTGTCCTCCACTTGTCCTACATAACATGCTGTCACGAGATGTGAGGAGTGAGCCAAAAATGAGTGAAAAAGCAAATAAGTTTTCAAAGAAATCCTTAAAAGACTGTCAGCACGCCCGAGGATCTATTGATGGAGAGCAATTTAAAAGATTGTAAGAAAGCCTGGTTCCTTTAAAAGCTAAGTATGAAGAAATAGGGAGTGGAAGAAACTTTTCAGCACTAAAAAATTAAAGTTTTTTTCTTTCTGAATAACCTTGAGAGGTATATATAAACAAACAGTAATTAAGAAGGATAAATGAATTAACATATCTCCAAGTTTGGGACAGAGCAACATGACGCTACTTAATTATGTAATCTTAGCAGAAGGTAATGAAATAAAGAATGCAAATCATTGATTAGAACTCATTTTATTGCTCGTCTTTGTTATGCACTACAGGGAACAATTAGTGCTAAGCTGTGCTGATAGTGCACCTGTGGAAAGATGAATGAGAATCCAGTGGATTAATAGCACTGGTGAGGAAGAAACAGCAGGTTGAGAAGCGGAGAGGAGAATCCTTACTAGTCTCTTCACGCTCTATAAGCTGCTAAAGTGACCGCTAGTCTGAAGTACATTGATTCTAAACCAATTAAGAAAAATGGGTCGATGGTGGCCACTGGTACCTTTGAGTTCTGGTTCCTTGGAAAGAAAAAAACTGTTTGTAGGTAATCTTATAAGGGCAGATGTGTGGGAAGTAAAGTGTTTTTTTATTAACTTTGCAGACCTAAAGTTACAGAACTGAGCGGCAGAACCACACAGGAAACCATTTAAAGGAAAGTCAAATAGCTGCAACCTCAGCAAATATTACGGTGTGGTACAGCATTTAGAGATTTTCCACAGAGAAAGAGTTTCAAGAGAGCAATATGGCTTTTCTATTTTGCCTTAGAAGAACATTGAAGGGAATGGGAGAGAAACATGAAAGGGAAAGTTAGAAATATTCTGTTTTTTTAACATTTTAAATATCAAATACATGCTTCAATAAAGATACATCAATGTATAAAACATTGTTTAATCCATACATGTTGTTGCCCTTCCAGTCTTAACTCTATACCTCTAAACCAAGGATGTCCACATGTTTTAGATGTTCCCCTGCTTGAAATAATTGCAGCTTATCAAAAGTCTGTTAATGAGCCATCAAACAGAAGCAAGGACAAATCTTAAACATGCAGAATACTGGCATTCTTGGACTGGAATTATATACCGCTGTTCTAAACGATAACTTTTAGAGCAGTTGATGCGTGACTGATTTATAGCTCCTTTCTAAGTACTAGTTAGACTTTGATGCAAATTACAATCAAACTCTCTTTAGATAAATGACAGCATGGCCATGAAAACTCTAGGATATTTGCTGTAGAAGCAGGAAGCACGGGAGGAAGAGATTAGCATTAATTTCAGACAAACCTTTTGGGCACCTTTGAATAAAAAAAACTATATTAGAGTCTTGGGGGAAAATTAGAGTGTAGCTCTGACTAGTCTTAAGAACTTTAGATTATAAGGTAGAGGAAAAAGAAGCCAGGCCTGATCATTTGAAAACTGAAATAACATATTGTCAGGCGTCATTTGCATGCAAACTATGAGTTGTCACTAGTGTAAAGAATTGATGCCAGACTCATTGGAGTAACCCTGTCTGAACGCGCTGTAAAGTCAATGCCAATGCATCAATCCATTCACCACCAGTGAGGAAAAAGCAAGAAGAGAAAGATCATTATTTTCAACAAGGAGAAGTTATTTAAGGTGATTTATTTGTGCCACTACATAGTATAACTTCTACCAGTGACAAGCATGGCTAGAAATAAATGAGAGGGAAAAAAATCAAGGCAACAAAATACATTAGATTAGACAACTATGTTTGAAAGAACATAATTCTCAACATCTTCTAAAGCTTTGCCACCATCCACAGTAGCATCAAACATGACTAAAGGATCATCATAGATCATTGACATAAGGTGGCACCTCTACACTGCAAGATGACAAAGTTTGTCTAAATCCAAGTCTAACTTTGCAAATAGACAAAGACATTTTACATTTAAAATAAGAAACACTTGCATTGTTTTATTTCAAATGTATATTATCTAATTATCTCATTCTAAGAGTGAAATATTGATTCCATTGGCATATCATCTTATTTACCTACTCAAATCAAGGGTAAAACACTTAACTAGAAATTCTTACTTATCTCTAGATCGTTTTTGCACAGCTCTCACTCTCTGATCTTATCCATCCTTATATTAGTTGGAGAGGCGACCTGTCCAGGGTGTGTCCACTTCTCACCCAGTCCCCCCCACCCATTAACAACAAGCAAGCAAAGACAATGGTTGGAAGGATGATTGGATGTTAGAGGCAATTCTTAGAAGGGATTTTATCAGACTTTAACAAAATGCTTCACAATCTTCAGTGGAACCTGTCAAGTTACTCAGCCATCAAAGAGATCCTAAAGCCAAATGATTCTCTTTAACCTCCCCTACTACACATTGATCCAGGCAGTTATGTCTTACCGCCTAAAGAGATAACCAATCCAAATGCATATGATGCAGAAATAGGAAATGAGGGCTTTCCTTTAAAACTGCGTTTTGGTGAAAGTATGCATACTCCTATTATCTAGCCGTTTTTCACTACATTTGCTGAACAGCTGTTATTAAAAAATATACCACTTGCTATCTCATATAAAGTTACTTTAAGAACCCCACTCTGCTACTTCTGTTTTTGTGGCAGAGCATTTCTTACTACAGTAGTTGTAATACCTACCTTTTCATAAACAGATTCAATAATGCTCCCTGGGAGATGCAGTTTGAGATTACTTCTGAGAACTGCACTATAATCAGTACTTTTTGTCTAGCTTTCCAACCCTTAAGAATTCAACATCCAGACAGTAAACAACACAATATTCCATAATGTTGTTTCCTTGTTTTTCGAGTTCTTTCAGCCGAGAGCACCGTGATAATAATGAGCCAGCAGCACGGATGTAGTTGAGCTTTGCTCCGTTTTCCTAGAATTTCTGATGCTATTTTCCTAATTATTCCAGTTTGTTGTTTTGGTATGCTACAACTATCCTTTTCTAGCAAAGTCTCACCCAAATAAATTTTAATATATAAAAAAATATATATATTCAGATGAACTTTCACAAACATATTTATCTTCGCCTAGATATCATTAAATGGTTTGCCGGAACTCACCAATTCAACGCTGCTCGTCATCAACATCAAATATAAGTTACCAGTTCTTCCTTAAATTGTTTGATTGACAAGTGAATAGACTTATCTTTCAATGTTTACCAAATGCATAAAAAAGCCCAAAGTCATACAGCATTGCTATGTTATGCATACAACTATTGTTTGACAATTCCAGTCCTGACCCAAAGTACTTTAAATAATTTGTATAATTTGTTGTAACTCTTTTAGGACCTGGGATTACTCTGCTATTTGAAACTTAAAATCAAACAGATTGTAAAACAATAGCAGTTTGAATGACCACCAGCAGGGTTGGTGTTTTCCAGCTACACAGATGGGTACAAGAAGGCGACAGCTGCTCTGGCTGATTACTTACATTTTATTAAAGGCTAGAGAAGAAAAACAGGTATTATTTCCCACAAAAAAAACAAAACAAAAAACAGTATCATAGTCTACTTTGTGTGTGGTGTTCAAAGCTAAACCCACTAAAAAATGTAAAAAGTAACAACATTCTCTACTACTAAACTGGCTGAAACTACAGATAACTAAAAAATGGGCTTCCAGGTTTCAATGGAAGGCAGGTCTGAAAGCACAAGGCTGCAAATCTGACACAGTATCAAAGGAGCTACTGTCTCACATCTTACTGTACCTATGAGGCCTATCAAACTAAAGTAATGAAGGAACTTTTTTGCACAATAAATTTTAAATCAAATTTATAACATGAACAGAGGTTCTTTCTTTATCAGATCTGAGTTTCCCTTCCATAACTTCTAATTTACAATAAAACAACATTTCAAGCTGTAATTTATAATTAAGCTCTCTCAATTGAAACTGAGTAAATCTTTGATCTGCCAAAATGAAATAAAATGCTCCATAATTGATGAAATCAAGAATCGAAATGGTGAACATGAAAAAAAGAACTGTAAAGAAGTTTTTGGTGACCGAAGTGTTCTGAAACACCATCTATTAGCAGCAGTTAGTATATACATAAAATATGGTTCAGCGCACTTATGAACAAAAAAAAAAAGAAAATAAAAACAATCACTCAGTAGTAACTTCAAGCTGACCTCTTATGACAAAATTAGAAATCATCATTCATACACATAGAAAATTACATTTCTTTTTTGTCCTTTAAGAATAAATTCTGTAAACACTGTTTAAGATCCTTCGGGTTATTATTCCTTTTTTTCAATACACATTTGTTTTACAATCTGAATATTTTTTATCCTCCTTTGGAAAACAGTCCAAGGCTTCTAGTTTGGCTCCTGTAGCTGATTTTTATATATTTCTCCATTATCAATCAATCATACCTTTTAACCTGTCTCAAGTCAAACCTTTCTGAAGTTAAGAAACTAGAAGAATTGAATGGAAGCTCTGGTATGATATCTACATGTGGGTGTTTTGAAAGTCTTGAAACATTTGTAGGCACCCACACATCACATCGAAGGGGACAAAGAGTGCTGGACAAGGCTAGGATTGAATATAGATAAGGCATAGTCTGGGTAGACGTTGGGAAGGTCTGAGTTGGAAGTTCAAACACAACAGATAGATCGTTAGCCATTTTTGTTTCTTTCAAATGGTGGTAGAGAATAATTTGTATAAGGAAGTGCAGGACTGCTATGTTCAGAGGGCTTGCAGGAATTCTTGGAGCTGCCTGACCAGCTCTGTGTCCACAGTCTCCATTAGGACCCCGAAGTTCTGGTCCCCCATCATAGCTTGTTGTGCCTTCAGTTTTTCATAGACAAACTGCTGAAGAGACACGCTGTGGACAGGGTCCTCCAGGGCCAACTGCAGGACAGAAAAACAAACAGAAATTAGTTTAAAAGTGGTATTATGTGAGGTCGCAGGTCTCTCTGGGAACTAATAATGTGTGATAAATTCAGAGGCTCAAAGTTTCTGAATTCATTATTGAAATAAAACAGCGTTATAGTTAAGTTACTACCTTTACCAGTTTAAGAGATATTCTTTTGTTGTTTGAATTGTGGCTTAAAAGTCGATAGAAAAGACCACATTTAAAAACAAATTCAATATTAAAAAATATATTATCTATGTAAAATTTTCAAATTAATTTGCCAAAATTAACCATGTAGAATTGGACTCACTATTTCCTATCTGTCCATCTTAATCAACACATGGGACTTTTGGCCTAATGTTGAGAAGGCTGCAAGTACCCGGTTCGATCCCCGCAGGCTCCACTCTGGGTTCCTGAGCAAAACGTAACCCAACACTGCTCCCTGGGCGCCACACAATGGCAACCCACTGCTCCCCGAGGGGATGGGTTAAATGCAGAGTGAATTTCCCCATTGTGGGACAATAAAGGGGTTACATTTAAATTACAGAACCTTAAACGAGACATATTATACAAGCTCTTTGTAGAATGCAAAACAAAGAGATTGAAAGTGGACCTGACTCTTTTACTTAACAAACTGATTTGTCTAAATGGAGTTGTAATTAACATTAGTAACAATAAGCAAGTTTTAGGAAGACAAACATGTAGTGTCTGGATCAATATCACTAAGTTCAAGTGGATTTAGAAAAAAAAAGAGAAAAGCAGTTCAGACAAGATGGCCTTTCTCAAGACGGATGTAAACATTAAACAAAGAATCAGAAAGAAAATGACTCAGTATATGTGGTCACAGCCATTCATCTTATACAGAGGAAGCCCTGGAAAAACAGTCCTTGACAATAGAGTGAAAAAGAGGCCGGGAAAGTTAGATGGCTGACTGGAGATGATACATTTCTGTGGCTAAGCATACAGTCATTTATTCTCTGTGAAGTGGAACCAGGGAAGAGGCAAACAACAGCACATTTAAGGTTGAAAGGCTCCACTCTGCAAAGAAACTGTAGTGACAATATCACTACTTTCAACATCGTTTGACAAAAAGGCAAAGTCTATTTGCACTAGCCTGTAAATGAAAGGAATCAAACGCACTATTCTTATTTTGTTTTCAACGATCATATGAGGTGCATTTTCAATCACTATTTACTTCCTGGGTATATTTTGTCTTTCTCACTAGACTTACATATGGTTTCAGACCAAACATTGACATGATAGCAGCACAGGGATGAAAGAACATTGCCAACTCCAATAAGGAGAAAAGGAAAAAACGTCCAGAAGCAGAGTATTGTAATGAAAATATTTATCCACTAATGGGTCGTGGGGGAAAAAACCACTTGCCATGGTAATTACCACTTTGACATGGCAGTGCAATCAATTTATTGAAGTGTCCTAATGGAAAAACTACCACTTAACTTGCATAATTACCTTCAGCATAAACGTCCTGGGTGAAGGATCGCTCTGTCTTTGAACAGAACCTAAACCCCGTTTTTGAGATTGAAACTATAAATTATGCTGGAGTTGTAAATAAAAGCATTAAAGGAAAAATTTAAAGTAAATTTAAAGTATAATTTAAGTAATCTTTAGAGCTGAAATTGTGATTTTAATAGAGATTAATTGTTTTGTGATAAAAATAAATGATTAATTAAGGGAGACCGGTGATTGTTCGATACTTAGATGTGAAACCTTTTATCTTAGACTCGATTGGCTTTATTCAGAATCTGAATAGTCCACACGTTCTCATTTTAATACGTTGGACCTCGTGGTGACATAAGGTGTACGAAGAAGTAATAGTATTTCCTCACAATCCTGTCCTATCTGATCACTTTTTATTTACCTTCAAAATTGCATTAACAAAGTACTCCTCCCCCAAAAGATGGTTTCACTTGAGCAGATCATTATCACATCATGCAGTAAGAAATTTAAGAGAAAGTCTAAATGAGACAATGCTTACAGATGGTTTGAAAGAGGAATGAGGGAACTAATAATGTGTGATAAATTCAGAGGCTCAAAGTTTCTGAATTCATTACTGAAATAAAACAGCGTTATAGTTAAGTTACTACCTTTACCAGTTTAAGAGATATTCTTTTGTTGTTTGAATTGTGGCTTATAAGTTGATAGAAAAGACCAAATTTAAAAACAAATTCAATATTAAAAAATATATGATCTATGTAAAATTTTCAAATTACTTTGCCAAAATCACTTACAGATGGTTTGAAAGAGGGATGAGGGGAGTCATCTTTGTTAAGAGAGAAAAAAACATTACTGAACAGAGGGAGAGGATTGCAGTTACAGCTTCCAAGCATTAACAATTCGGAACTCATTCCAAAGAAATTACAAAAGTACATTCATCCTTGTTCAAAAGGCCAAATGCATAGTACATGCACAACAAAAGACTCCAACAATCCAGAAGATTGCATCTTTTTAGCAAAGCAGTGTAAATCGATAAAAACACTTCAGGGAAATGAAGAAAGAGATAAGGAGACTGTCTTACAGATGAATCGGCAGAATGCTAGCAGGTGAGTGTGAGCTAGAAAGTACAATGCTTCTGCAAGCAGCAGGTGTGTCTGGATGAAGAGCAATGCACTTGAGACATGACGTCCAGGGACTTTGCTTGAAACTGCACTGATACAAAAACAGAAAGAAAAACTGTAGAGTAGCTCCTATTGCAAAAAAACAAAAACAAAAAACACAAGTCTGACCCAGTGTCTCCTCTTGGGAAAAAAACAGAGTCAACAATAAGGACACAAGAGAGTTACTAGGCAAGGAGAGGTAGAGGATATGCTAGGCTGAGAAAAAATATATAAGAGAGTTGGTTTAAAAAAAACATTGAAAAGACACAAGGCATGAAAGAAGATTGTTGTGATATAGAATACGAAAGACAAAGGTGGAACAGATCCGGTACATAATGACAGACCTGCCAACTTTCATTATACGGCTTTGTTAAGGCTGGGATTAGTGGTTTGATAATTACCTTTCAAGTAGTCATCAAACTCCTGGGGACATTTTCTAAAGAAAAGTACTTCAAGGATATCTAATCTAAGAATTTAAACACACGCTATAAAGAGACCAACTTCGTTCTTACCGCCTGACGATAATAAAAAAAAAAGTATGCTTTTATTTATCTTTTTTATTATTATTTCTTCAAAGCCAGAACTTTAAAAACAATCCTTAGTATTTGGTAGTATGAGCATTGACACATCTTCAGTCATAGACAGGTTGTGCTTACAAATCTAAATTTTTTTGTTTTTGATAACCTTTTTCAAACAGTAAACCAAAATATCTGAGAATTTAATTTTCATGCACCTATAAATAAGAAATAACATGTATGTAAAAGGATTGTACTTTGAAAAACAATTACACAAATGAAGCTAATCACATTAAATGCATTTATGTTAAGGTCTGTTTGAGGACACACAATAGATATCAACACGTAAGACTCTGCTTTTAAGTTCTCTTGCATGCAAGTTTTTCCCCTCCAAGTACAAATCTTGACCATTTAATTCCCTCTAAGCGGATTAGTTAATGTCACATCAATCACTAATTTAACAATTGAGTCAGAAAAAAGGTGGATTTAGCTGTCAGGGTTGTGCAATCAGGAATAAGTCAAAACTTGTCAAGGTATAGTTTAACACCTTAAAGGGATAGTTCGGTATTTTTGACATGAATCTGTATAGCATCCCCATCACCAGTGTCATGCAATCACACTGACTTACCCCTGGCAGCATCCTGTGACCCAGCGAAATAAAACGTTTCTCTTCCCAAAACATTATGTGTTCAAAAGAGTGATATTTTTGCATCCCAAAAACGTTGTAGTGGAAAAAGTCACACGTCGTTATCACTTGGTCCTGTTTTCTCTCTGTTCGTATCAGTGCGCGCTGTCATTCAGGCAGCGAGCTCAACAACAGCCAGATGCATGCATGCATCTGGCTGTTGTCAGGTTAGTAGGCCCTAGCTGTCTGAATGACGGCGCGCACTGATACGAACAGAGAGAAAATAGGACCAAGTGATAACGACGTGTGACTTTTTCCACTACAACGTTTTTGGGATGCAAAAATATCACTCTTTTGAACACATAATGTTTTGGGAAGAGAAACGTTTTATTTCGCTGGGTCTAGCAAACCTGCCGGACTACTTTTGGCTTGACCAAAACTGGACGAGAACTCTGCTCACAGGACGCTGCCAGGGGTAAGTCAGTGTGATTGCATGACACTGGTGATGGGGATGCCATACAGATTCATGTCAAAAATACCAAACTATCCCTTTAAGACTGAGCATACCAGTACCAGTCTGAGCCACTAAGGGCAGAGCTTTGTCTTTTTATTTTTACAGCTTAAATTTATTTTAACAGAGAAGATACCATTTCACCGTCTATCAGAAACTTCTGCCTCTCATAAAAATGCTTCACTTCACTGGCAGAACTGCTGCGCACACAGAGAGACACAAGAGGGTTGTTGATTTTTTCGTTGCTTTTTGTGCATTGTTTTTTTTTAAACTGTTGAGGGCACAGAATTGAAAATGTTCCATCCAGAAGCCTTTGGAGGAAATCCTTAGGGAGATTTTTTGTGCTCGTGATCAGATTATGAGAATGATAAAGATGAACAGCAGCTCATACTAAAACCCATTAATGACTAAGTCATTCAAAATTTTTATTTCCATTATTAAACTTACATTTCAATTGCAGTTATTCACGAATAATGCGGCTATTTTATGGTATGTTTCTTTTCTTCAAGAATCAGAGTTAGTAATCAATACAGGTCGATTTGTAATTGTTTGTCTGCATTTCACATAATTGAATGATTTCTTAGTGATGAATATATGGAGACATCAATCAATAGTAAGTTTTAGAAACTGGTAAAAATAAAGTTGCAGTAATTTAAGTTCTGATGACATTCATTAAACTTGTCACACAGCTCCCTTCGCAGCGTCGAAGTTAGCATTCACCATGAGT